ACAGTGGAGGAAACATGATGGGTCCAGGTTGATTTGTTGCTTTTGACCCCATGTACCTTACATGATTTATGGAGAAAATTAAGTTTATCGAGTTGTTTTGTGTGTTTTTTCTCACCTGAACAAACAACACCAGCGTCCTCGTCATGTCCACAGTTGTGTGTCCCAAATCCATTGTGTCCACACTCAATTAGAGAACTCTCACTTCCTGAACAGGCTACGTCATCAAGCCAGATTTTCCCACTTCCTGGACTAAAGTGAGCAGATGCAGTGGCCTCCAGTGCTGTCCCGCAGCCGAGCTGTCTACAGACCACTTTTGCATCATTTAAGTCCCAGTCATCATCACAGACTGTTCCCCAGTTTTTCCTGTGGTAGATTTCTACTCTTCCATAGCACTGAGTGGACCCAGACCCAGATAATCTGATCAGACCTATCAGGCACAAGGCATTCCTATATTTTAATATTCCCTGAAACTGAAGTCAGACTTAATGCATATTATACAAGAACATGATGACCTGTAATACCTTGTCTCACCTGAACAGACAACACCAGCGTCCTCGTCATGTCCACAGTTGTGTTTCCCAAATCCTCTGTGTCCACACTCAGTTAGAGAACTTTCACTTCCTGAACAGGCCACATTATCAAGCCAGATTTCTCCAGTGCCTTGACCAAAGTGAGCAGATGAAGTGGCCTCCACTGCTGTCCCACAGCCCAGCTGTCCACAGACCACCTTAGCATCACTTAAGTCCCAGTCATCATCACAGACTGTTCCCCACGCACTGCTGTGGTAGATTTCTACTCTTCCAGAGCACTGAGTGGACCCAGACCCGGATAATCTGATATGAGCACCTAGTCACAGGCACATTTGCTTAAAGAGTGTTAGTGTTTCTTTTTTGTTATTTGGCCATGGCAAAAATCAAACACATTTACCAACAATAATAATTATGAAAGATAACATACTTTGTATCATTTAAATTCTGAAGAAACCAAAAGAAACCCAATCAGCATAACCCAGCCCACCTTTCCTTCTTGTCCTTCAGTTTGGCTCAGTTATAGTTACTGGGTCACAGAGTTGTTCATCCAAACAGAGAAAGATACATTTATTCAACACAATTTATTAGAACAATATCTCACCTGAACAGACAACACCAGCGTCCTCGCCATGTCCACAGTTATGTGTCCCAAATCCTCTGTGTTCACACGCAGTTAGAGAACTCTCACTTCCTGAACAGGCCACATCATCAAGCCAGATTTCTCCACTTCCTGCACCAAAGTGAGCAGATGCAGTGGCCTCCACTGGTGTCCCACAGCGAAGTCTTCTACAGACCACTTTTACATCATTTAAGTCCCAGTCATCATCACAGACTGTTCCCCAGGAGCCACTGTGATAGACTTCAACCCTTCCAGAGCACCGAGTGGACCCAGACCCAGCTAGTCTGATCTGACCTATCAGCACATAATATAAACTGTATTTAATATTTTCTTCAAGTTGAAATATTCATATGAGACACATAAGAAGAAACTTACCTGCTGCAGGTGTGGAGGACGCAAAGAGACAAGAAACTGATGAAGAGGAAAACATGGGATTGCTTATGATATAAAGTTAGTTAAAAATAATGTAACAAATGTTATCATTTATAAAAAATAAATAAATAAATAAAAACTGAGTCTTAAAGATGTATTCATTACTGCTTCTGTATCAGAGTTATTATAGTTTTGTATCTTTTTACTTTTTGTTCTTAATTGTTCTTTTGTACCCCGCCTCTCGCCCTATGACAGCTAGTATAGGCTCCAGCGCCCCCCGCGACCCTGAAAAGGATAAGCGGAAGCAAATGGATGGAATGGATGTTCTTAATTTATTTTCACTTTAGCTTCCAGAGTTTAATTTCTTATTTCAGTTTCTTTTTTATTATTTGAACATGATGCAACTTGGTTTAGTTTTAATTGATTTAGGAAAATCACTACAGGTGTTACAATGAACAAACATAATCTTTTGAAAGCAGTTCACTCGGGCTTGTAGACTCAAGTTTCAATGCCTCATCGGGCAAGTTGTAATAAAATTCCTACTAAAACTAATTATATTCCATCTAAATTTTTTATTTTAGTTTAGTTAACTAAAAGATTTTATTTTTTACATATAGTTTTAGTTAACTATAATATTCTTGATCTGTACAATATAAAGAAAAACATTATATGAAAAGGAAGATTTTCTTACCAAGGGTAAAGATGTGAAGCACATTCAGCTGCCCCATAACTGACAAACAAAAGCTGCTTCATGTTATTTATTAGAACCCGGTGGCAGTAAAATGAACTTCCCCTTTCGATTTCCGGTGTTTTTCCTCTTTTTTCTTTTTTTAATCTCACATGCATCCGCAGGGTATTCAAACAAAGCAGCTGTAAGGCTTGAAGTTCACACACATGATTACGTGTTGTGTAATGTTGCATAACAATGGCAAAAATAATGCTAATGATTAATCGAGTGCCTCGCAGTCAGGGGCATTGCTAGGATCTGGGTGCTGAGCCCAGTCTTGAAATCTTTTGGATTTACTAAATTTACTAAATATTATAGTGAAATAAATATAACATGTCAAAGATGTGCTGCCTCAAGGTTGAAGTCACAAAATAATACTAAAATAAACTTCATAATCTTCATCTCCTCTGCTCTCTCCTCTGCCCTGGTTATAAGAAGAATGTAATCAACATGTGCCAATCAAACTCCACCCAAATAGATCATCTATGGTATAACTCTTATGTATCAACTTACTTTATAAACTGGCCCAATCAGTTATTCAACAAATGTCAGGTTGCAGAAAATCGAATTATTAATGCACAATTTCATGCCACAAGAACTAAACTGTCGATAATGACTGGACCTACAGGCCAATACTTCATGCAGATGTGGATGTTCATGAGTCAGGATTGTGTTGCTGTTATTTCTACTGAATGTCGTGCACAAATGACATCTGTCTTCACTATCACGTGACTCCCTTGTTTGTTAATTTGTGTTTTCTATTTCATTTTGCAGTATTTTATTCTTAGTGTCCTTTAATCACTCTGCTTTTACACTGGTTTTTAAACTATTCTGTGTAGTATCTTCAAATGTCCACTAGATTTCATTACTCCTCTGTGAACGTGGAACACAACAACGTACATGACTTTCTATTGTCTTTCTGTGTATTCACACTCTGAATACACAGATATGCACATCTTTTTCTTCTTAAGGTTACAACAATAATGCACACTTATTTTAATAGGTTTTAGTGCAATCTTGATATCGGATGGATATAATAACCTCAGATCTTTTATCCAGTTTCAGTTTCAGACCATCCCACTGTCACTATGGTTACTTACTGTGATGCTTGCCACCATCATTGTTGATGTGTTTTAGCTAACTAATGACCTGATTAACCTGCTTTGCAGCACAGCTGCTGGAGTCCCATTGCTGAATCCAGTTTGTCAGACCAGTCAACATAGGCGCTGATGTTAGGTTCGAGCTGCCAGAGTGATGCTCAGCTCTGACAGAGACCTTGCCTGTGATAGCCGGTGATCAGATGGCTGAATTTATCTTCCCTCCAGTAAACAATTCTTTTATGAGATCCAGGGATATTCAAAAACACATCCAGGGCCCAGGCTAACTTGTCGCCTGCTGTCAGTCACTGTGACTCACTGTGAACAATTTTGCAGCAGGTCTTCAACCTGTTATCCACAAGAACAGAACTCTTTGTCTTCATCTAGTGATCACACTGTAGTATTAACATAGATTGAAGTTTTTCTCGATCAATTTGATTTTTGATGTCATTCTACTTACTCTCAACCCTTTAAATGTATTTCTCCATCCTCATTAGCCTTTGTCATTGTGTTTGTACACAGCTCTTTTGTTTACAGATGCTTGTCATGGCACTGCTACTTGCACTCAGCCAGTGAAGATATTTGTAGTTCACTTTAGGATTTAGAAATAAGTTACAAGAAATGTAGAGTATTGTAGAGACACTGACACTGCCTTGGATGTAATAAAGGCCTAAACACATCTTAAAGTTAGGAGTAGATTTTTAGGAGACCCTCCTCTACCTTGGGCTGTGAAAGTAGAACAAAGGGATGCCATAGCTTAGTGGAAATTCCCCAAGGGATACCTGGGTGGGAGCCTCAGTGCTTGTGACCTAATAATCATGTTTTGTAGAGGAGTTTGGTGTAGCTTGGGTGTGGGGAGATGGCCTTTTTTAAGACCGGCAGGAAGTCACGTACACAGAGACACATACACACACATGCACACACACAGTATGCGCACACGCAAGCACTCATGTGCTCGCACATACATACACTAACACAGTGTTTTAGTTTTATGGCACATCATATAGGGTTTACAATGGGGGTCGCTTCTTTAAAAACTGTGTGTAACAGAGGGTGGAGTGGGTAGAGATTTGCAGAGGAATTGTCGGGCCATGTACATGTCCCTTCTACAAGATGCAAAAGTGATTGCGGATGAATAAAAGTTTTGTGAAGTAACTACTGAGTTCCAGTGTCGTCTCTGGAAGCCTGGGGAATCCAAGAATTGGGGTGAAACTGTTTTAATGGTGACACCACACATTGTACATGTACATTGTGTGGCTTTACAGTACTGTGTAGTAGTTGTTGTTATTTTCTATGTTTATTGGCATTTTTCCATGTTTTGATGCATGTAGTGTCAGAAATTATTTGCAAGATGCTAATGAAACCTGCTATGATGTATGGTTTGGAGACAGTGGTGCTGACAAAAGACAAGAGACCAAGCTGGAGGTGGCAGAGTTCAAGATGTCTTATGCTGGGCAGACACTGTGCGATTTTTTTCAGTCGCGCGATTCAGCTCCTGCTCAAACTGTACGATTGACTCGCAGGGGTTATAAGTTCATAGGTCACGATGCAGGGTCTCACACTATGCGGCCCGATGCTCTGATGCGACCTGAGTGCTCACACTGTGCGTCCATAAAAATGAAGGTTATAACAGAAATTCTGTCGCTCGCTCTCCCTCTCCGTCTTTCACTCACACAGACACACCACCACCATCAACTTTGCTAAATTGCTAATGAAAAACATTGATCAGGCAGCTGTGATTGAGCAGCAGTGTCGATCCAACTATTTTCACGGTTGTTGTGGTCGTGATCATTTTGTGAGGCCACATCGAAAAGGCTCGGATGGTTCTACAGGTTGTGCCTCCATCGCTTGTGTCCAGATCACAGGCCGCACAGCCGTGCTGCTCCGTCTTTTTCGCTGACATTTGTGTTTGCGCGTGCGCAGTGTGAAAAACTACGGTGACACCCTCACGACGGTCGCGAGGATTTCAAACAGGTTTGAAATCCTCACGACCAAGCGATTGATGATCGGGAGCTGGTCGTGAGGTGTTAATCGCCACGTATACTACACGATGCACGACGATGAAGGCCAAACTCGGGCCGATCGCCAAATCGGTCGCACGACTCAAAAATCGGCTCAAAATGGGCCAAAAATCGCAGTGTAAGCCCAGCATTAGGTCAGTGTGTGTAGCTGCCTCCACCAGTGTGTGAATGTGAGAGTGAATGAATAGTGGTATTGTAAAGCGCTTTGGGTGCCTTGAAAAGCGCTATATAAATCCAATCCATTATTATTATTCAGTTTACGTTTCCCCTGTCTCGTCAGCACTGATTTCTCCCACCTGTGTTTCCCTCATGTCTCCCATTCCCTAATTGCCCCTGTGAGTATATAAGCCCTGTGTTTTCTCCTGCTTGTTGGTCTGTCTGTGTTGTCTCCCCCACGGGTTCTGTTCTCCCAGTATAGGGAAGCCTTAGGTTCTGTTCATAGCACAGGTCTGTCTGTGTGCTCTGGAATGAGAACACAGATAGACCTGTTTGAAAAATAATGTGCAGAGTTATTAGAGTTTTATTTTTTCTAATTAGTTTTTAAAGAAAATTTCTTTGAATTTTTCTTTTCAGTTCAGTTTAGGTTCCATAGTGAGCTTGTGTAGTTTTTATTCCTTAAAAATGTTTGTTTCAATTTTAGTTAAACTTTCAGTGTTAGGATCTTTATCAGCGTCAGAGAAATCAGAATATATCTCATAACAAAACCCAGTCCCTGGGTTCTGTTGCTCAATTTCTGAGGCAGACTCAAAAAAATGTACTACAGTGGTACCGGTTTTTCTTGAACAAGAAAACCAGCAGCTCTAACAAACTTATAATCTCTGCTATTTTTAGCTGAATTTAATGTTTTCTTCAGACCTGATATTTTTCATGCAGTGTGTGTATATATGTGTTTAAACATTACTGAGTATTTTAAGTGAAGTCTGGTGAGTGCTGCACATTTTGACACACAAGAGTTTTGACAAATTGAAAAACTGGTGTAAACTGACCTGGGCTTGGGTAAAAACAAGTTCTAGATTAACAAACTAAAAGAGTAGCGCTGTATTACTATAATGGAATCTGGTATTCTCTTGTGGTGTCTTGGTGGAGGTAATGGTGGGTTGCAAAGTAGCTTGCAGCAAGTATGCCACTAAGTAGAATTGCCAGATATGTACACTGGTATCAGCTGAGCCATGAGGTGATGTTCACTGGTGCTGTGGTTAGTGGAGGATGTTAGTGTAGCTTGACTTTGTGATTTGTTGAAACTAAAACTATTCTTTTGTTTGTCAGACTGAAACAGGATCCAGATCTGCTACCTTCAATATCCACAGAGTGGACTTCAGTGATGATGGACTGTACCAGTGTCAGTATGAGAAACGCATTTCAAGTAACACATTCAGCTCCCCCCTCAGTGACTCTGTCAGAATCTCTGTTACTGGTAAGAAGAAATACACTTTCCTGAACACCATGTTTCATTTGTTTTCTATAAGTAGGGTGATCAGTGAGCTACAACAAATGTATTATTGTGCTGGTGTTGTGTGTCTCTTTTCAGTAATCTTTCCAAAACCCAATATCTTCATCAGTCCTGCTGGTGTGGTGACCTGGGGTCAGAACATTGGAATCACTTGTTCAATCTCAACTTAGACTTTAGGTGGAACGTTCATTCTGATGAAAACATCAGATTCATTCAAAAAGACCCAAAACTCAAACACAAACTCTGCTACCTTTGATATTCCTGAAGTAGACTTTGATGATGTGGGATTGTACCAGTGTCAGTATCAGAAAAGCGGCCCAAGTCATGAATTGAACTCCCCACTAAGTGACCTTGTTAGGCTCTCTGTTACAGGTAAGAAGACAATAACAAGTAAGATAATCCAAGTTCAAGTTTCCGGCTGCCTGACAA